TCAAGAGATCGAAAAATTTATTCAGGTATTTTTTCCGGCTTTGCGACCTATAAATAAATCAGCTCGGTATTAAAAGCTCGCGATCATTAYTGCGACAAAGCATATTTTCAAAAACTGTTCACAGTTCAAGTTGATTCCTACAGTCATCTCAGAAGTATTTGGATTTGTGGTCCTACAGGACTACAGCTTTGTCAKTGTTAAACGGGTGACCGTGAATTCAACATGGATATCAGTTTGAAAGTTCTAAGTGCTTTGTTTTTGMTTGCGCTACTAACAARTGAATTTGTGGATTGTGAAGTCTTTGAAGATGACGAACCTGCTCATGACAGATCTGGTAAGTTTTTTTTTTTTTTCTTGCGAGTTCGCGAGTTGTTTATTAGTTGAGGTGACGGTTTGACACCATTTTATTTCGGTAGGCATAATATATAGACTCGCAAAATATATAGACTCACTTGTCATCGACGCGTGACGCGCGTGAAAAATACAAAGAAATGTATGGAGCTAAAAATGAATTTACTCGCTCCCTAGATCAAATAAGTTCTTCAAATTTCTCCTTCTCGTAGTATCTAACGTTTAACATTCGTGAAAAGATATGACGTCGCAGCAGGCTCGGTTCCTTCGCTGTAAAAGCTCTTTTAGAGCTCATTCAATCAATCAATCAATTAAGTTTTTTATTAAATCATCAGTCACCAACATATCAAAGTTATTCCTTGTAAACTTGAACATTTTCTCTAATTAGCGTAAGCGACATCAGTTCTAGAACTGTTTCTGAATAAATCAACAAAAAGGTTCAAATCAGGTGCGATTTATAGTCGKGCATTGTGACGTGAGCACCTGATCTTGATGCAAGCTTTTGTACACTTTGTATGTAATGACTTTGATATGTCAAATACAACGCTTGCGTGGGGGTTTTATTTTACAGTTTATGCACTAGTCAATTGAAAMMACCGCCCCCCGCCCCCCAACCCCCGCCTCGGGGCTAGCCGGGCACTGAACGGGGACGTGACGCGTTTTTAACGTGCTTTTAACAGCAAGATTGCCCCGGGGGTCGGGATTTTGATGAACTGTTTTCGAAGCGGGGCAAAGAGCGGGGATTTTAACGCGCGTTTGAACATGTATGAGGCTGGAAACTACCTTGCATGAAAATTTTTTAGAAGAAACTTATTACACATGTTTTTCTCAGTCCTCATGTACTACGCAAAGAGGATTGCACAGAAAATTTGATTGAAAGATCTTTGTTTTGTTATTTACTACTAAAAAAAACAGCGGGGCAACAGTAGCGGGGATTTTAACAATGAATGTGCCCCCGACTACCGGAGGAAATGTCCTATTTTAACACCACTCAAACGTTAAATTCCCCGGTATTCCCCGGGGGTCGGGGGTCGGGGGTCGGGGGTCGGGGGTCGGGGGTCGRGGGTTTCAATTGACTAGTGCATTAGCCTTCAATCATGTCATATCAACTACTGAATTTCAGAGATGCTTCAAAAAAGAGGATCCGCTGATTTTGGTTTTATGATTTGGCAAGTGACTGGCAAACCATTTACAGATTATAGTAGCTATGGTTGTTATTGTGGCTTTGGAGGAAAAGGACGACCCCTTGATGCCATTGACAGGTATATAGCAGATATAACAATAACTGAATAATCTGTTGAAAATAATGATAATAATTTACAATCATTAAGCGATTAATTTATTAACGAGTTATGAATCAACGAAAATGACGAAAATACCAGATTTCCCCTAATTCCCTTCAGTCGAGTTGCTTCAGGATTATTAGACCCATATTAACAAGTTTACTAATGTTTCGTGTCTTCTTCAATATTTTCATCCAATTCACCCTTTTTAAGAAAAATGAAATATCTCAAGCCAAACTTTCTCTCTCGTCTTCTTACAATGTTACACAGCACTTTGACGCGGAACTTTGGTCTATAGGCAGGGTCGTATATACGCGTGACGTGGAATATTGGAATATAGAATCAGTGGGATCAGGGATCAGAATTTTAGCTTTGGGATCTAGCCTAATGCTTGGAAATAAGGCTGGATACTAACATACTAACTGTATAAGGAAGGCGAGGAATTATATAGTTAAACGATAGCGGTAGGGCATAACTAGGTATTTTTCAGAATATTATAGGGGGGCCCCTTTTCGGTATTCATTTCATTTCAAGTGCCCCCTAATGCTGCTCCATTTTGCGGAGCAACTTCTTCATAAGATAACATCTCCATGATATTTTCAGGTGTTGCAAAGCTCATGACCAGTGCTGGGATCTGCTCACACACAAAAAAATTTGCACCAGGGCACTGACGATAGTCCTGCCTTATAGGTTTATTGGAGGGAGATGCCTTAACGGAAAGTACACTTATGGTAAAAATATATCCAATCTATAGCATTCAATGAGGTCGTGATTTATTTTTTTACATATCTTGATGGGAAATGAGTTGACTTGAAATATCCATTCGTAATTCGTTTCCATTCGTAGGTTTTAAATCTCTATTCATAGAGCACCATTCATAGAGCATAAATGGATAATAAAGAGTAAGGTTTTGATTATATTTAGATGTATTTTTGTTTTCTAACATAAACAGAAGCTCGAAAAGAATACCGGTGGAATATGGTCCGTTTATAGCGTGCAAACTATTGATCGTTTTCAACCATTCCCATGAGATTCAAAA